AGTCAGAGAGACTAATTCTTATCGAATGTACACTACACTACACTTGTGTGTGTGTGTGTGTGTGTGTGTTTTATATGTATTATTACAACTATTTAACAATAACAACCTTATAAATAATAATAATCTTAAGAACTTAATCTAACCTTGTAAATAACATATTATTTATCTGGTATTCAATAAGCATAACAATATTCCAATAGTGTCATTTGTAAAAGACATAAAAATAAAACTATTTATAATAAACATATATTAATTACTTACCAATTATAACTTTTATAAAAACATAACACGTTGAGTGACACCAAAGAAAAGCCTGAGAGCTGTCATGCCCGCGTCTTAACTAGTATTCATCCATCAGCGCCTCTAAGTTTGTTTTCTATTCCTGCACTGGAGCAGTTCAAAAAGTGTACACTCCGTTTCTTGCAACATGATTTAATTTAGATTCCTGTAAATTGCGTTCAATTTTGAACAAAGTTTAATCTTCGGTCAATCTATTTTGTTTTCCTTCAACTTTATTTTGGTTCCGATCTGAACGTATATCTAATGCCTGCTAACTCAAACTAAATTTATATCAAGTAATGTGATTGGTGCATAATAAGCATAACGGAAAGGATGCGTGATAAACTCAGTTGAAAAATTTAACGATAAAGGTATCGAAATGATCAAGCAAAAAGAAAACCAAATAATCTTCAACTTCATGAAGAAACTCGGAAGAATAATATAGAACGAATAAAAAAATGCAGCAAGTTTGTTGGAATAACTATTGAGGATTAAATCTAACTTGTCGGATAACCTTAAAAGAGAGGTATAGACATTTTATATTTCATCAGCCATTGAAGATTCTAAAAAAATTGTTTAAATAATTAAATAAAATTAAAAAATATATCTTATGATAACAAAATAAATAATAAATGGTAATAAATTATTCAACATATTATATTATATTTATTACATTATATTACATTATTATTATAATATATTATTATAATATATTACATTATATTATATTATTATTATAATATATATTATTTATTATTTAATTTTTTATTTTTATTATTATTTTATTTATATTCATATTTTATTTATATTGCAACGACAGGCGACATGTATCACCACTCAGTCGTTACAATATAATAAATAAAATATATTCTTGTAATATATTAACACAGAGATATCAGGTATAATATCATAAAGAAAAGATAAGTTTGTTTCACAATTAACTTTCTAACAAAATTAATCAAATGAAATAAATATTTTTATCAATTAAAGAAAAAATAATTTAAAATCATAAAACAAACAATAATAAAAAATAGTAAAGATTCATTCGCCGCCATTTTTATCCCCACTACTCATTTTTCATCAATCAGTATCTGTGTCAAAGCGCCGGTGTCTGCATGAAGATTCAGGCTTAGTCCTTGCTTCTAATTAAGAATTAACTATATCATACTGCATTCTCTTATCATCCAGTGCGCTTTCGGCGAAGCTACAAATCTTGTTGAACGAAATCAACAACTAGATCTAGTGATGTGATAATTTCCAATAGCTAAGCAATGTACCATTATTTCAAGATTTATTTTACACTTGTATGTGATTTATTGGACAAATATCTTACTTTCTGGTATTTT